GAGATTAAAAACTTAAGAATTGTTTATTTCTAGAATTTCCATTTCATATTTGCAGACTGAGGTTGACTGCTAGTAACTGAAACCATGGAAAGAAAGCAAAACTTCAGATAAAGGAGGACTGCTGTGTTTATCACCAATTCAATTCAGTAATTGTTTTTTGAGCACCTACTGTATGTCAGGCACTGCTCTGAGTACTAGGGATATATATTGTAGTGAGCAAAATGGGAAAAATTTGAGCCTCTCTAGCACTGGTATTCTATCCCAGTCAACAGCAAGTAGTCATTGGTGTGCTCAGTCAGTTGCTGTGAAGTGCTAAGAAAAGGAAAGCAGGAATGGGGATGGGAATGGAGGTCAGTTTTGAGTGGGATGGTCAGGGAAGGCCCCACTTGAATGGTGATTTTGAACAGAACTTAAGAATGAAGAAGCAAGGCTGGCATGTTTTAGATAAGCTCTGTGGGCCCAGAGGAAAGTAAGTAAAGGGAGAGCAGTAGGTATGCCCCAGAACAGCAGGGAAGCCACGTGGCTGCTGCAACTGACCAGGTAGCTTTCCTCAGTCATGATGCCTCATCTGTCCCTGAGGACCCGGCTGATAATTTGAATGCATGTTTTTCATTTTTCCCATTCTCTATATCTGTACAGGGAGAAGTTAATTCTTGAATACAGTGGAGTCTGTGAACTCCTGTAAAGAACCAGAGAGTGGTAACTGTTTTAGATTTGTGGGTCACAGCAAAGGTGTAGGGTGGAAGCAGCCCTAGACTGTTGTCATGTAAACGATTGAATACAGGTCTGTTCTAATAGATCTTTATTTCTGTACACCAGAGTCAGAACTTCATGTAATTTGCACATCACCACTTTTGAGTTTTTCAGCTACTCAACAGTGTAAAAATTATTAGCTTTGTAGGCTGTACACAAAGGTAAAGGTGGTGGGTGCGAGCCATGGTTTTCAGACCTGTTTTAGGTCCAGATCTTGGGAGGCCACGTGGAGACTTGGGCTCACCCTGAATGAGATAAGTCATGGGCAGGTTTTGAGCAGGGGTGGGAAATCTTATTTTAAGATTAAAAAGAAGTTTCCTCCACCTGTCGTGTTGCGATTAGGATGAGGGAGGGGCATGCCCTTACTAGTCAGGTGGTTAATAGTTGCCTTCTGGGAAGATTTAATGTAGACAAGTGCCATTTTATATGACAGCCATACACAGGACAGTGAGAACTGTATGGTTTTGAAATATAAGAATTTTATTCCTTCAAAGCATTTATTCAAACCCTTTGAGACTGAAGCATAGAGAAGCATGAAACGTTTTTCATTGGTAAGGCTAATGGCAGAAGAAAACTGAGCTCCTTGTTCCAGCAAGATTGCTAAGAGGCTTTATGTTTTTGTGAGATAGAGACCCACGGGAGAGGGGGGAGCACATGGTCTGGGGCCGTGCCCCAGCCTGCAGTTGGTGGAGACAGTCAGACTGCCCCGCGCCACACACTGCTGGTATTGCTTCCTCACAGGTGAAGCATACAGCCCCTGCTCGCCTGGAGCTCAGCTGTTGTCTTTTGTAAGTCTCTGTCCCTGAAGTGAAGGTGTTGAGGAAGGGTATGCCATGGGCCGCCTCATTTGGTAAAAGCAAACTTGAGACTTCACGTGTTGAAGCTTTTTCTAAAGAAATTTCAAGATGGCATTTTAAGTTTTTAGACCTTGTCGCATGGGTGGAACCTGAAGTCCCCTGACTAGTGACGCTGATGGGCTCCAGTTTAATAGCACGTTCATTTGGAGGCGTCCACTTTCGAATTCAAGAGGGCAAAGTATTAGCCTTCCAGAAAGTAAGTAGTCCAAGTTTTTGTATGCTGGGAAAACTGAGCTATGACTTTTCAGTTAATGATAATTTTTTGTAAGGGGTTGGAGCCAGTCTTTTTATTATGTATTTAGATGCTGAGATATTAGGCATCTATTACTACTTCTAGAGTTCCAAATTAATAACTAATTGTCTTCATTTTGGAATAGAGTGTTTGCTGTTCAAAACATTTCCAAGAAATCTAAGGTATATGGTGACAAAATAATTACACACCCATAAGAAGCCTTTTAGTAATTAAAATAGTGCTGATGATAATATCTGTTTGACACATTGACTGCCACACTAGAAAAAAATTTTTTTTCCTTAGGGCCACTGTTGTTTATCACAGAAATAGAATAAAAACTTTGAAGACAAAATGATCCATTCTAATTTAATGTTATTTTTTATTTTCTGCACTTGAGTTTTAAAAATAGTTCTCATGGCTCCCAAGGTGAAGAGATGTGTGAGTTGCATATGCTTCATGAGGCCCTGGGCTCAAAACTACCATGAGTTAAATACGACTCACATGGTAGTTAATGTGTTAAAAAAACTAAACAATTTAGAATGTGGAAAGGAGAAAACAAACAAACAAAAACCAACACAAATTAACATATAGAGGATATCCAGGGTTAATTTATCTTTCCCTTCATGGTTTATAGATAAAACTTCATTACTGTGGAAGCCACAATCTGGAAAAAAAGTACAAAATATGCTTAGGTCTTACAGTGTAGAAACTGAAGAATGTTGTGAGAGCAATGAGTTGTTTCGTGGACTAGGCAGTCACTTGTGATTCACACTAGAACATTCTAATTCTTCATGATTATCATAAGCCAGAAGGTTCTGATATTAACAGAGTAAAATCTCTCATCTGTCAGTTTCCCTTTTCCCTCCCTTCATTTCTCTTTCTTTAATTCAGTTCCCAGTGTTTGAGGTTCGAACACGATATCCCAAAGTATGGCATCTTGGCTTTGAGCTAACGGAGGTTGGTCGGCCTCAGAGCAGACTCAGGCCACCTTCCTGTCTCTCCCTGGGAAGCAATTCATAGAAACCAGAATTCCTCTTCCCCAAGGTGGGCCATAGAAACTTGGAGTCTTCTCGGAGCCAGCCATAGAACCTGGAGGGGGCCCTCCCTCCCTTCACTGGAAGGCCTCTTTCCAGAGGGGTCCTGCCCCACACTGGAGGAGGGAATGCCACACACAGAGGCCCAGAAGAATCTGGACAGGCAGGCCTTGTGGCGTTCCTCCCCGTCTGTGACGTGAGATCATGTCCTTTGTGCAATCCCATTGTCCATGGAACCTAAGTATAAAGTTGGTTTTCCCTGGGCCTTTGGGTCTGCTTTCTGAAGGCTCCCACGTCACGTGTGACTTTGACTGAATAAATTTGTCATGCTTTTCTCTTGTTAACCTGTCTCTGTTATAGGAGTGCCGGCGTGACCCTTACGATGTGTGAGGGACAGTCTCACACCTTTCCGCCCTTACACGCTCTTATTTGCTGTGCCATATTAGCCCGAGATGGTCTTTGCTCCAGTCCTGTGCTCGTCTCCTGCTTCCTTATCCCTGCTCGCTACCTGTCCATCCACCTTGTAGGAAGAAGGGTCTGTGTCCTGAACAACTCTCTGTCTTCAGGCTAGGGCACAGCGCTTGGCTCTTAGATGGTAGGTGTACACAATACCTTTGTTGACTAAATCACATTACCCTTTGCCCCAAACCCTCAGTTTCTTGCCGCAGTGGCTACGCTGAGTCCGAACACTCGCCCAGTGTTGCAGGCTCCTGTGTGCCAGCGTTGGGCACACGCTCAGCCTCACCTGTTGGCCGACGATCCTAGAGCCTTTCCCTTCCTCTGCCCATCATGATCCTCCTCACTTTTTAAACATCAGTTCTAACCTTCCTTTTGTTCTGGTATGAAATTTTCTTATGTCTTGTTTATGCTCTGTAGAGTCCTCTTCTGTGTCCCTGTGCTGCATTGCTTTTATTTAGCATTTATTTTCTTATTTTACTATAGCTAAGCTAACTCCCTAAGTGCATTGCTCAGCACATGGTAGCTCTAGTTTAAGAGGAGATTTTATGTCCTTTATCTTTTTCCCCTGCGTAGTAAGGAGTTTGTCCCTTTTCCTGGCTCCTGGGAGGTCACCTAACTACCCTGGAATGGCTTTGAGCTAAAGGAGGTTGGTCGGCCTCTGAGCAGATTCAGAGACCACCTTCATGCCTCTCCCCAGGAAGCAATTTATAGAAACCAGCTCTCCCCAAGGTGCAGGAGTGCTGGGAGTGCCTCTGTTGCTCCTGGTGCCCCATAGCCTGTAGTCTGTGCGAGGGATGGCTGGGGTGGGGGATGTGAGCCACAGGGAGGGAGGGGCCAGGAGATGGAGCCCAGCCACGTGGCCAGTGGCCCAGTCTGTCCTGCCCCCTTGGTCAACCTCCACAGAGACCCAGAGCCCTGATGAGCTCCTGGGCGGGTGGTGCTGTGAGTGTCATGGGCGGGCATGGTGGCCTGGAGCACTGTGTCCTTACCCTGAGCTGGCTGACTCCTGCCATCCACGGTGTGAGTGGCACAGGGCTTTGCACGTGGTGGCTCAGTAAAAGTTTGTCTATCTCCGTTTATACCTAAATACAATCGTTTGTATGTTGTCTCATGAAACAATATCCTTATCATTGTGATGTACTTAAAAGTACATGCAGTTGACCCCTGAACAAGGTGGGTTTGAGCTGCAAGGATTCACTTACAGGAGGATTTTTTTCAGGTGAATGAAGATCAAAAATATCAGTGTTCGTGGGATGAGTAACCTGCATATGTGAGGGCTGGCTTTCCCATACGCAGTTCTGCAGGGCAACTCGTGGGCTTAAGTATGTGTGGAGTTTGGTATGGGGGTGTTTGGAACCAATCCCCCAAGTGTACTGAGGGCCGCTGTGTATTAATGCTATTCTGTTGTATCTCACTTTAGAATAAGCTGGTTAGTAGCAACAAGAAAAACAGTGATTTTGGTTAAAGTAGTTTTTCTGATGTCAGATCGCTGCGCTGGGTTTGGCCGGCTGTTCTCCACCGAGTCAGTGGTATCAAACAGTAGTGCTGCTTGGTGTTTTGTGGGGGACGGTGCAGCCCCCCTGCGAGTGTGTGGAGTGGTTTGCGGAGCTGGCACCTGCCCTTCCGTCAGACCTAACTGCTCTCTTTCTGCCCCTCTTTTTTAAGGTAACATTTGCCGGTCACCCATTGCAGAAGCCGTTTTCAGGAAACTTGTAACGGACCAGAACGTTTCAGAGAAGGTGAGTGCCACTCACTGTCTTGGAGGCAACCTGAGCACCTCCGGGCAGGGGACAGCCAACCTTTCGTTTCTCTCCCTGCAGTGGAGGATAGACAGCGCCGCGACGTCCGGGTATGAGATAGGGAACCCCCCCGACTACCGGGGGCAGAGCTGCATGAGGAGGCACGACGTTCCCATGAGCCACGTGGCCCGGCAGGTACTGTCCTTGAACTTGAGACGTGTGTTTTGTGTTTCAGTGGGTCATTGACAGCGGCGCTGTTTCTGACTGGAACGTGGGCCGCGCCCCAGACTCGAGAGCTGTGAGCTGCCTGAGAAATCATGGCATTCACACAGCCCATAGCGCGAGACAGGTAGACACGCTCTTGTTCCATTTCTAACATGTTGAGTCCGTGACTTGAGAAGCTGTGCCCGGCTTACAGGCTTAACCAGACTTACGTGTTAGTGGGATGCTTAGTCTGCCCACTGTTTCACTTCTGGATGCGCAGTGTGGAAAGACTGGCATGGTTTTGGAATTTGCTTATGAAAATGCATATAAAAGTTAATTCATAATGAGAGAGCCTGGCTGGCAGCTAGAGCTGAGTGGTGTTCTTTCTCTTTTGGGTAATTTGTGGGTATACATTTAGGCCATGGTGACTATTCTGCTTATATTACAAGTTTGTGGCTAGAATAAAGTTATATAACATATACAAAACATTATTTCAACTGTAAAGTACCTTAGAAACACAGGGTAATGCTGGTACCATAATAGACACGTGACTACAGTCTGTTATGCCATACTTAAGTGTGAAGTCTAATAACATCACAGCCACACACTGCAGTTTCAGATGGAGATAGCCTTGTTTTTATGTTATAAATTAGAAGATGCAATTGATTTTTCTAAGAGTTCTTTACTTGAATTAAGTACTCAAGGACTGGCTCTTTCTGAAATGGAATTATTGGATCCAAATAGTTAAGCATTTGCCATAATAATACACTATTTACCTCTTTATAAACAATATCACTGAAAATACAATACTACTAAAAGGCAAAGCATATGAAATTTATACACAGTTACACAATTGTGTACAAATTGTGCACACCATTACAGTATGCTGTCTAGGAAAGTATGTCTCACTAAAAATCGTGACACTGGAAAAATAATTCGAGGACTTAATCATGATCTGCAAACAAATTTTTAAAAGTTGGTTAATGTATACTCAAATATGTCCAAATACATCATCTGTACTAAAATAGTGCAAGAAGGTATTTGTATCCCACTCATAACTAGATAACCCTTGGGCATTAAATACCTCTTTAGTATAGTAGATATTAAACAAGTTATTCATAGTTTACTTTATAAAATCACATGAAACTGAGTATAAAGAAAGATATGCTCAAGATAAAATTCATTTCTTCTCAAAAGTATGCAACAGAGTTGTATTTTTTAATTACAAATACAAGATAAAGATTCTTTCCAATAAAATACTTGCCAGTTGCAGAAAGATATGCTCAAGTACCTTAAAAGTTGAAAATGCTATTTATAGTTTTATAGACCCTAACACAAAAAATTATTATACTCTAAACCCTTTTGTGATGGTTAAGTATGAAATTAAGGTTCATCACTCATGATTAAATTAAGGTGTAGAATGTTTTAAACATTAGCCATGTCATGACATTTGAGGCTTCATGATTCATAGAAAAACAAATAGCCTATATAAATGATGAGGAATAAAAGCATTTTAAAAGATAATAACATTTTAAATGCTTTCATAATCTGGCTGTGATGATATAAAATCTCTGATGAATAGTATCATTTATCCATTCTTGTCTCTTCAGATTTTTTCATACCTTGCCAATTTCTACTTGCAATCGTTCAGAGAATATAAATTTATTTTTAGTAGTCAGAATTATAGGCACTCATATATCCAAGTTTTATGTTGTTAAAGTCAGATTATTTTTCATATACTAAGTGTATAATAAAAGTAGATGCAAATGAAGTATTTTAAATATATGCACCTTAAACAAGCAAAGCCAAAAACTTTCAAGAACAGTTTTAATTACCCAGATTAGAACTAGTATTAGCACAGAATCTGATTCTTGCATTTTTCTTTTCTCTGCTGCTTTTAAGAAAATTTTCTCAACAGTGTTATTTTTAAAAATTTTGAAGTACTAATAAGGTATGTTGTATAAATCAATATCACATCAGATCTTTGTTACGTTTGTAAGTTATTTTTCTTTACTAATATCACAATTTGTGTGATATTACTAGTGTCACAATTTGTGTGATAACTACTCTTAACTACATTCCTTAAAATTTTTTCACAGTATTTTTTCCCAGCCTAGATTTAATAAATTTTTTTAGGGTTCTTATTTCTTTTTAACTCTTGTAGTCTCTTAAGTACATGAACTCTCAGTTCTGTCAGATAGATGGAGACTTTTACTTGATTGTGCATTCTTTTCTTCAGTAAACTTTCATTGACTTGTGCACACATTGTGCATGCAGCCTTGAGGTCCTCTGGCTGCCACTCCTCACTCCCCGGAGATAACACTAAAAATTCATTCCATCTTTTTAATATTATAGAAGTGGAATTATAGCATATACTGTTTTCTGTCAGCTTTTTTTGCTTGTGATATTTTCCATGTTGTTGCATGTAGCAGTGGTTTATCGTTGTCTTTTCTGGGCACTAGATCATTTCACAGTCTGTCCACTCAACTGTTGATGGACATTTGCGTGGTTTCTCATCTGGGGCAACTCCGGATAGTGCCACTGTGAGTATAGATGTGCACCCGCGTGGGGTCCGGTCAGATGTCTGCCCCGCGTCAGACGCAGGCTGTCAGGGCTGCACAGCCTCGTAAAATACCTTGGGGATACTCCCTCTTTTTCTGTCCTTTAAAAATGTGTTGAAGATTGGTAGTTTTTCTGCTCAGCATTTAGAAAATTCATCTAATCAGTCGTCTTTTTGTCATCTGTCATTTTCTCTGGCTGTCTTAAATTTTTCTTTTGCTACTTAGTTTTCAGCAGTTTTAGTATGATAGGCCAAGTATGATTCTTGAATTTGTGGCTTGATGTTTCACATCCATTTTGGAAAATTCTGAGCTATTAACTCTTAATATTTTACCTCTCCTCTTTCTCTTTTCATCTGAGATTCAACTTGCGTGTATATTGAACATGCATTTCTTGTGCTTTTTTCTCTATTTTCCGTCCTTTTTACTTTGTTCCTCAGTCTGAGGTTTTCTGCTGACCTTTTTTTTGACACATTAATCCTTCTGCTGTTTTTAAGCAGTCTGTAAACCTATACTCACTGTCTGTTATTTTATTCACTTATTTAAGCTTTGTTTGATTTTCTGGTGACATTCTACATCTTGCCTTGTATTCAGCTATCATAGTTACTTTACGTAAGTGTGGTGACGCTGGCATCTGGGTCCTACGTGAGTCTGCTTTTCTGTTCTGTTCTTTCTGTTTTATTGGGTGGCATCTGCTCAGTTTGGGCGGCTGTAACAGAATCCCTGAGACTGGGTAATTTATAATGAACAGAAATTTGTTTCTTACAGTTCTGGAGACTGTGAAGTCCAACACTGAGGGGCCTGCATTTGGCAGGCACTTTACCGCGTGCCGCCCCCTGGTGGGAGGGCAGAGAACCCGAGGGGATGGTGAACTAGTCCTCCTATCAGGAACCCACTCTCAAGATAAAGGCATTGATCCGTGCGTGAGGGCAGAGCCCTCATGACCTCATCACCTTTGAAAGATCCCATCTTTCAACGCTGTTGCACTGGGGGTTAAGTTTCTAACACATGAACTTGGGAGAAACATTCAAACCATAGCATAGGCCTTAAATAATTTTTAAGAGTTAAAACAATTCTATTAAACAATTTGAGATCTCTGTTCTGAGGCCTAGTCAGTGCCCAGAATCAGCAAATGCTATTGGCGGTGTGGGAGTTTCAGCGTCCCTCTGTGTCAGGCGTCTGCAGGTGGAGGCCTGCATCTTTTCTGTGACTGGTTTGTCAGGGCGTGGCCAGGCTCACTCCTCCACCTGTAGGCCGTGGCTGCGTTGGTGCTGCAGCTGCAGGGCTGAGGGCTTTGGAGAGGTGTTTTGGCTTTTTATATGCATTTTCTGCTTGGTGGTAGGGTTGATTAGCTGCAAGCCATTTCATTTAGAGCTGCATGCAGAATCCTTTACTGTGCGTTCTTTAAGTTTTAGCGGTTTCTCTTCTTAATTATTTTGACATGCAAAAATCATGTAACAGTTACTCAGTCTTTAAGAAAAAGATTACAGTCAATCCAGAATTTTAAAAATGTTTAATATTAAAGCCTAGGACATTTCTCACATGATTAATTTAGAGAAATAATATAATATTTAATATTATAATACTTACTCTAATAGATTTTTAAATAAGTTAGTGCCTTGGGAATGTTAACAAAATACAGTCCTCTGTAATTATTAACATATGTAATTTAATGGAAGTACATACTAAAAGCCAAACTTCCTCTTTTTAAACAGAGTAATTAGTATATTTATTGTTCTTTTACACAACTGATTGTTATAAGAGAGTATCACTACTTTGTTTAACCAGGTTTTCAGTATCTCCTATGTAGTGTTACTGTACAGTGATATTTTAGAGGATTCTTTTAGGGAGGAAGATTGTTATTGACGTTACATTCTTGGGAACTATTTCCACCTTTGTTCAACAGCATGTTTATGTTCTTATTCATTCTGTCATTATTCACAGTGGTCAAAATTCACAAAATAATATTTTCCTTTATATCGTAAATAGGCTTATGTTTACAAGCTGTGCCAGAACACAATGATGAGTTTTGCGGTTAGCATCAGTAGGAATACTGAGTGGCATTCTCCTCTGTGTCAGGTTCAAACTGTGGACCTTCGCTGGGGTGAAGAAGGACCGTAGCTGCAGTTGCTTGTGTGTGTCCCTCTCAGTGAACCTTCCGGCCTCTTGGGTTTACTCCCCTCTCAGCCTCTCTCCTCCCGGGCATCTGCTCCGCATGGCAGGGCAGCTCCCCAGGACAGGGTCTGCCAGTTTCGCTGGAGCATGGTGCTGAGGCCTGCACTGTTCGCTCTTGTAGAATGACAGTAAAGTAGGGACCAAGCGGTTAAAAATGTGGCGTTTTCACGTGTTGACTGAATCGCACGGTGATACTGGGGAAGTGAGGCTGAAGTGTGAGCGCCACGTCTGCGTGTCACACTATCTTAGTGTACACGTGTCACACTATCTTCAGTGGTACACGGTGGTCAGCACGTCTGCTTAGGGCCGGCGGGCCTGCTACACATGTCACACTATCTATGATTATTGCAGGGAGCTTAACAACAGAGTTTCTTTGCAGTATGATGTTGGGAACTGGGCTTACCTATTTTAACTTAAAGGTGCCCCAAATTATTCATTACTGAGTAACAGACACAAATATAGCAGGGTTTTTTAAAGTACTGCTTTGGATCCTCTAGGTTGGATGGTATAAATATAAACACTGTACTTTGACTTCTATTCAATTTTAGATTACCAAAGAAGACTTCGCCACATTTGATTATATACTGTGTATGGATGAAAGCAATCTGAGGTAATCTTATTTATAGTGTTATTTCTGTTCCACTCTCAATTCAGTGATAGGCCAAGTAGTTTGTTGTTAAAATGACTTTTTTATCTTAGAGTTTTTAATAGACAGTGACGGTCACAACGTACAGAATTATTTATTTAGAATAGCAAGTAGTTTAGAGCAATCTAGACTTACAGGCATACTGACAGGAAGATGCACCTTAGATAAGGGAAAGTCCAGTTAGCATGGCTCAGCTGGAAGGTCAGCTGGGCTGCGGTGTATGGTTTGTGTGAGGAGATGAATCGTTCTGCAGGAGAGAGGTTTTGTCACTGCTGGGATGGTTCAGGGACAGTATGGTGCCTTCTTGTTTCTCAGGCTAAAGCACTTCATCCATAGCTTCCTGTTACTGCCCCGTCTTCTCAAAGATGAAACTGAGGAACAGTGGTATTAAGTCACTTTCCTTGTAGTTCAAAGAATTAGTGGGTAGGTGTGGTGGAATTTAAGCCTAGGCTCAGAGCAGAGTCCTGCTGCAGCTCCTCTGGCGTGGCCATGTGAGCCCCCGTCCCCGCCTGTGGCAGCGGCCAAAACATAATTCAGTGCAACTAAGAATTTACTAATTTGTATCACTGCTAATTCATAATATTTCATGTTTTTGTTTTTTTTGTATGAAGAGAAACTATGCTTTTAGTTGCTTTTGCAGGGGTGAATAGATAAGGATCCACCTTTTTACTTTTTTTTAATTAGGACCTTCCTTGAAATGTATAGATTTTCCATTTTTGTTTTTTAATTCTTAACTTTTTTATTCTCATTTTTCTCATTTGCACCATAGCTTATAGGAGTTGTGCGAACCGCCTGGGTGGAAGGCTGAGTCTGCCTTGACTGGCGTCGCGGTGCACTGCGTGTCTGTGTATGCAGCAGGCGCCTCCCAGGCCCAGCTGCACAGGCCTTGCCCTCTACCTGGAAGCTCTTCCTTGCTGCCCGGGCCAGTCGGCTCCTGAGTGTCCTTCCTGGTCCAGCTTAAGTTCATTTCTTTGTGGCAGCATCCTGCTGCCCGGTCCCCTTGGCCAGGTTGTCCCTTAGACGTGAGGGCTCCCTGCACTTCCGGTCTCTGCTCCCACCCCTGACCCTGCAGCCCCACGTGCGAGGGTTCTGGCCATCGCCTTCCCTCCCCACGTGCAGCTCCTGCCTGCCTGGCCACTGGTGCTCCCTGGGACGTGTTTGGTAGGCGGAGGAGTGACCGAAAGCTGGCTGAGCTCTTCTTTTCCTCCTGTGGCAGTGTGAAGGCCAAAGGGCGCAGGTGCCAAGAGCAGGGCTGAGTTTTGTCAAAGAAGGAAGCGTAGTTAGTGAGGCGCGCAGTGCGTGAAATACCGTGCGGTGGCGTCTGGGGGTGCGACTGGGACTCGGGTCACTGGGCTTCTGAGTTCCCTCCTGTCACCTGTTTTATCTCGGAAACATCTTCTGAGTGGCCGTCTCGGTGTGTGTTACGGGAGGAAACACAGTCACTGTCTGCCCTCGGGCGTATGTCTGTGTAACAAGACCGGGGACTGTGCTGGGCGCAGCTCGCGCCTGAGACGGCAGTGACGCGCCGCAGGGCCGGGCCGCAGCGCTGCGGGGTGTTCGGTGTCGTTTCTAATCAGGTCACTTTTGCTGGATTTTGGTATGGATGTTTCCTAAAACCCTAGCAGATGTCCCTGTTTAACTTGAAACCGTAGATCAGAAAACTTAAGTTCATGTTTCAATTTTACAGAGATTTGAATAGAAAAAGTAATCAAGTTAAAAACTGCAAAGCTAAAATTGAACTACTTGGGAGCTATGATCCACAAAAACAACTTATTATCGAAGATCCCTATTATGTAAGTACAGTTCACCCTTTAGGGCTAACGTGAAGACACCATGTCTGTATCCTGCCTTATTAAATAACAGATTAAGGTTTTCTTAAGGACTTTTTTCTTTATGCAGGTTTTGCTATTTTTTTTTCTTCTTCCTGTCCTTTTAGGGGAATGACTCCGACTTCGAGAGGGTGTACCAGCAGTGTGTCAGGTGCTGCAGAGCGTTCTTGGAAAAGGCCCACTGAGGCTGGCTCTGGGCCCTGCTGCAGCCAACAGCAACTAGACCCGCCCGAGGCTCTGCTTTTCTCCCTCAGTGTGCTCACGTGCAGTGCTGCTCCATGGCCCCAGCTCCTCCTTCAGTTGACTCACTGTTTCTTATCTTAAAAAATAACTGCAGGTAGAAATCAGTTGTGCTTGGCAGAATAATAAATAAAAATCTTTGATTCAGACAGTTTATAGTATAGTAAGCATTCTTGGACCGCTTGAACCTGTCACTTTGCCCCAATAGCAAAATTAGTGGAACAAACCAGGTATAGAACAACGAAACAAAACACAATGAAGTGTAAACCTCACTTAAGGCCCAGGGCATCATCTAAGCCTCTTGCGACTTAGATAATCTCGTCTACCTCTTGAGCAGGTTCGTGTGGATGGCTCGGTGGGCAGTGCCCTCTCCCCCTCGAAGGAGCTCACAGTCTGGATTAGAAGCGTTTTAATCCACATACACCCACAGTGCACACTGGCATGTTTAAACGACAGGAAAAAGAAGGGTCTGTGGAATCCATCTTTAGCACCTTCAGTACTTTTTGATTTCTGTCTAGCTCATTTCCTGAGGAGGTCAGCTCATCTGCTCCCATTCGAACTATTTTTCCTCCGCAAACTTAGTTATATCCAGAGAGAAGGGCACTTGAATGCTGGTTTATCTGTGGTCAGTTGAGGAATATGTCTGTTTTCTTATGCATACGTAACCCACATGTCAAATCTAAATTGGCTTAGTTGGGAAAAACTAATTTAAAAAGTTGGAAAAAGTTCTCTGATGTTGGCATGCTTAAATATTGGTATGTTAATGGTATTTGTTCATCAGTATTTAATAAATTTATAGGCAAATATAGGTAATTTCTGTGTACTTTTAGGTAATCTCAAATTCAGATGGATATGTCAGAAAAGATTGTTTTCATAATAAACTGGGGTGTTAACAAAAATACAACCGAGACATACATCTGGTGTCTGCCTGCTGTTTTACTGACAAGCGAGGAAACGTTCGGAAGCATTGCCTGTCTTGTCCTTTAGATGATCTGTGATGGCATATGTGCATGTTTACCTTCAGTATTAGGAAGTAAAATGATGGAAAAAGCACGTTGCTGCCCCATGCATGATGCCTCTTTCATGAAGGAAGTCTGAGGCTCCTTGTCCCAGAAGCGGCTTTGCCCAAGCACCACCTGGGTGGGCAGCACCCCAGGCTGGGCCCCTGTGGGGCAGGGGAGTGACAGTGTGGTGTCCTCCCTGTCTCGATCCTCCAGTCATCCTTGGTGACTTCAAATCCTGGGAGAACTTTTAGTAAAAAAAAAAAAAATCAGTGCTTATCCAAAGGCTGAGTGGATCATTGCTCAAAAGTATAGGAAGAGTTTAGAGGAAGGGGAGACCATGACTCCTGTTCTGGGTGCCTGTTCTGGCCTCAGTACCATGAGGGTCCCAGGGTGCAGAGGGCTGTTTGATCCTGGCCTCGCTGGTACCCGCCACATGAGGGGAGTGGCTTCCCCACCACGCCACGTGGGAGGGCCACGGTGTCAGCACAGGACGGCGGCTTGCCCGCCGAGCAAGTGAGTCTTGCTCCTGGTGGAGTGACTCAAACATGTGGAAGACTTGGGATGTTAAACAGAGTGGGTATTTGGTCATGATACCCCTAAAGCGATTTGGAAACGGGACTCTGTGAGAACAGAAGGCACCCTGTTCTTGCCACTCAGTAATTGCTTAATGTCAAAGTCAAGCAATTTCTTACTCTTTTTCTGTTCCTTTATGTTTGTACATCCTGTTGTTGGTTTTCTTTAATGTTTCTGTATATGAATACAGATCTTCAAACAAAAGTCGTAGGACTCTATCTCTGCTCTGGCCGTGTGGCCGTATCCGGACAGCGCCATCTGTTTACAAGGGCTCATGTGACAGAGAAACTCACTGCTCTGCTGGATTCAACTTATCTTTAAAAATTGAATCCAACTAGATTTGTTTAAAATACGTCTACTCATAAAAAGTCTGAGACTGCTTAGCAGCCGTGGTTCGTCTTCGTTTAGTGTTTGCGTGATCACAGAATCACACGGGGGACGATGGCTCTGACCTGGCCCGGGATTTGCTTTCCACTAAATCAGTCCGTCCTCAGAAATTATGTCACCACGTAGTGCCTTCTACTTTAAAAACAATTCTAGGGCTGGGTGCGGTGGCTCACACCTGTAATCCTAGCACTTTGGGAGGCCGAGGCGGGAGGATCGCTCAAGGCCAGGAGTTGGAGACCAGCCTGAGCAAGAGCGAGACCCCATCTCTACTAAAAATAGAAATTAATTGGCCAACTAAAAATATATATATATAGAAAAAATTAGCCGGGCGTGGTGGTGCATGCCTGTAGTCCCAGCTACTCAGGAGGCTGAGGCAGGAGGATCGCTTGAGCCCAGGAGTCTGAGGTTGCTGTGAGCGAGGCTGACGCCACGGCACTCACTCTAGCCTGGGCAACAGGGTGAGACTCTGTCTCAAAAATAAATAAATAAAAAAAAAATTCTAATTATCCCTTACAGAAGTTCTTAGGCTTTCAGTTTCATTTGTTTACACCTTTTCCACTCTGTGGCGCTCTGTGCCGTGGTCTCGGCAGAGCTGCCCGTCTGCGCCCCAGCGCTGAGCGCGAGAGAGGTAAGGAGTCACGTGGAAGACAGTGCGTTATAACAAACGCCTCGTTTATTCCTGTGTTATTTACAGTATTTACATATTGCACGACAGCTGGAGAACTGTTTCACAGTTGTACGGAGGACAAACGCGATTCGCCTGGAGATACTCACGGATTTGCACTCTACTGTCTCCAAAACACGCCTGAACTTTTCTTTTTTTTTTTTTTTTTAAATTTTCATGCCATTTCAAATTAAACTCTGGGAATTTAATTGTAAAAGTAATATAAAATATCAAATCATACTGTATGCTATATGAAAATATAGTTTCAGATTCTGCCTATATGTCTAAAGAAATATTCTTTGTGACTTCACCTAATCAGGGAAATGGAATAGTCTCTGTACGTTATAGCACTGCACATCGAATGCACAGTGTTCTCTCATTTTCTAGAACAGTGGCAGGATCACTGTCGAGTTTGCTGATTACCGAATATATATCTGCAAACAGCGTCGACAACATACAAAACTCAAAGGAACTATGGAAGTCTGCAAAAATAAATCTTTTGTTGAGGAGGGAGTGTGTTTATAAAGATAGTAGCTGTTTCCCTGCTGGTTTCCAAGGCACTTCTCGTGGTTCCTGTGTGCTGCTGCTTCACTCCCGCACTGCGCTGCTCACTGCTGGAAAGAAACACATCGGGTTCACACAGCTGTTCACACTTATCAATTCTAGAAGGCCTGTCAGTCATAGGACAGAACATTCGTGAACATAAGGGATCTCAGTGTGCAGGTGTATTTCTCTGTGTTCTCAAAAGTGTGGCCTCTTTTATTTTGTGTGACTTAGTATGTAGCTACCACATGTCTGCTATGCTAAAGGACTGGAAACCATAAATACATGTGCATGCTTACTAAAGTTTAAGGAATAGTGCTTCGTCTTGCGTCTGCTGTCAGAATCCTCAGCGATCCAGTCCACGACAGTTTAGAATTTGCGGCAGTCTGAGCTGAGAAATCGATGGGTTGCCTTACACCTCAGTGCTCACGGGCTTGGCAAAGCTAATAATTTAATCAAGACCAGACACTTGTTTCTAGCCTTCCATGGTAGACTATCTAGGCCATTGGCATGCTATTTATTTTTAAAAGAATGATAAACTTCTAGGTTACTAAGATTAGGCTGCATGTGATCAACTAAACTAGGTGCTCACTACTCAAAACTACATTTCTTTGAGAATGTTCCAGAACTCAGGCTTCTTATTTAACCGACCCGTGAGTCCAGACAGCCGAGCAAGCATGTCTGACTGTTAGGGAGGGTTGCTGCGAATGTGAGTTCCTTTCGGTCCCTAAGCTTCAGAATGGGACAGGGACGGATTTGCTGTGAGGTCACAGGTGCAGGACCCCTCCCTGCAGGAGCCCTGCTGTTGTCAGACTCTCGGCCTTCAGAAAGACGAGGTAATGTGTGGTGTAGGGAGAGGGGTCTCTTCTGCAGCCTCGCCTGCTGAGTACAGAGAAGGCCTGGGATGCACCTGTGCCGTGGTAACGAGCCAGTTCAGGGCAAGGCTCGAAATCATTACAGCTAACAGGAAGGAGTGTTGGTGTTTTAAGCTCTGCCCATTTCTTGGCTGTCAAGCAGGTGCCCTGTTGGGAACCTGAGCAGGTGCCTCAATCCTGTTGCCTTTCCTGTGTTTCTTCACCCAGCCAGACTCTGATTTGGTGTGTAGGGCGGGGAAGTGATGGGAAGGGCAGAGGTGCGGAGTATCAAGGCCACGGCAGCCGGCCCGCCAGGACCACGTGCCTCCCAGCTCTCCTGGGCTGTGCCCACGGGAGACCCAGTGCTGTAGGACCGGCGGCATCGATTCCACCCGAGGGTTTAAGCACCACTGATGATGACCTCACTCCAGGTCACCTGCACCAGCTCACCTGTTCTCCCTGCTTGTAAGTAAATGGAAGTTTTTTCTAAGCATGTGCCTGGTTTATCTCTGTAAACAGGGGTGATTTAACGGTAAAGATGAGCAAGCAGGGTGTTAATGAAAACAACATTCTCATCTCCCCTGGCATATCGCTTTGGGTGACATGCAGAAATATGCATCCGTTCATTGATTTAAAAAGGAAAGCATTTTCTGCAAGCCACAGAGGCAGCGGATGAGAAACGGTATCGGAATGAGACGAGGGACAGACTGCCGCCACCTCCTCCAGAGAGAAGTGTGGCAGGACGTGCCGGGTGCAGTCCCACGGTCCCCTCCTGATGCCATTCCTCCTGTTGCTGCGGCAACTGGCTCAGGACGTGCCGGGACCCACCGTGCCTCACCCAGCGTCGGTGCCTATCCGCGTGCACGTCTGCTGGGACAGCGCGCCGCTCTCCTGCGTGAGACAGGGAGCCACGGGGGAGCGGCCGTGTTCCCGGTGCTAAGCTTTTCTGGGCGGCTGGCCAGCCTGGGGGCACAGGCACCCGTGGGCAGGAGGCAGGTCTTGCTCGTGGCGCAGCCCAGCATGCGGTGATGCTGTGAACGGCAAGTGTGCAGTCGGTGACGGTGAAGTCTGTCTCGCTGTCTACAGTGACTGGAATCTGTGGCGTCTGCATCAGGAAGATGAAGCCCTGCCCTCCAGTGTGGCCGCTGCGTGTGCAGCTGACGGATGGCCACACGTCACTCGGCCCTCGGGAGGCCAAGGCGCGGCGTCCAGCCCGCAAGCTGCTGATGCATTTGCGCTTTCACCCTTGGAGGTTATGCAAGAACAGCACTGACAGAAGCATGCAAAGAGGGTCACTGTTCTTAACGGGCTTATCGGCATGGTGACAGACCCCACCTCACACGCCGACCAGGTGTTATGAATGTTTGCAGGGACACGGGTAGTCATGTATAGTCATGTACTTGCTGTGCGTGTTGATCAGTGAGTGAGAGCTAATGGGATAGGCGTGGTTTCGAGAGTGTGCCTGGTTAGTGCCTTTAGTCACGTGCGGAAATTGGTGAGCTGGCGGGCTGTGTTTCAGAGTGACACGCAGGACCGGGTCACCACGTGGATGGCGTGCGGCACTGCCCAAGGTGCGGTGGCCAGGCCAGTAGGCAGCACCTGTTGCTTATGGCCAGCGTTTTGAGATGATCTGCGTGTTGTGTCAACGTTACTCAAAAGTAGAGCTATCAGCCAAAGGATGTTTCTGAGCCCCCGTGATTCTTTCGTGTCCCAAATGGGACTCTGATGTCCAGGGTGTGCCCCCCGGCGGGTCTGTGTATGGCTCACCTTGCCCTCCGTGCACACGGGGCTGACGGCCAGCCGGGTGAGAAGCCGGGCGCATCTTTTATAGTCTGCAGCGGAAACAAGGCACAGGCTTTTGTCAGTCACTTGAACAACACTGAAACACAGTCTTTTTTTGCAAGATGTTAACTGCTAAGGCCATTTATTTCTTTAAATATTCTGAATTCCCTGGGAGCAATATGGGAGGCTGTCATGTGAAATCATGGGTTCTCCGAGTTGTTGGCTTAATAATTTATGGTACTTGAAGGGCTTTGGCGTCACGTGGCAGCAGTTGGATGATGTAATTGGCGGCTGTGGGGGGGCAGATGCAGAACGGCGGGCACAGCCATGCCTGGCTGCCCCTTCCTCCCTCAGTGGCTGTCAGAGCTTCGCTTCCTGGGAGAGAGTCTTTCCACATCCTTGTGCTACTTAACTTTAAGGTCACTGCAGACTGAGCCCCGACCTGAATCGACTATGACACAGAGACACCTGCATTAAAATTCCAAAGACAGTGGGCAGTAAGTCAGGTAGCGGAGCAGAGACCTGGACTGGGTGAGGGAGGAGGCCACACCGTCCCCTGTCTCTGCACGTAGACCGCAGCATTCCCTGTCTGCACGCAGACTGCTCGGTCCCCTGTCTCTGCACGCAGACCGCACCGTCCCGTCTCTGCACGCGGACCGCTCCGTCCCCTGTCTCTGCACGCAGACTGCTCGGTCCCCTGTCTCTGCACCCAGACCGCACCGTCCCATCTCTGCACGAGGACCCCTCCGTCCCCTGTCTCTGCACGCAGACCACTCCGTCCTCTGTCTCTGCACGCGGACCGAACTGTCCCGTCTCTGCACGTGGGCCGCTCCGTCCAGTCTCTGCACGCGGACCGCTCCGTCCCTTGTCTCTGCACACGGACCGAACTGTCCCGTCTCTGCACGCGGACTACTCCGTCCCGTCTCTGCACGCAGACCCTTCGTCCCCTGTCTCTGCACGCAGACCCTTCGTCCCCTGTCTCTGCATGCAGACCCTCCGTCCCGTCTCTGCACGCAGACTGCTGTCCCCTGTCTCTGCACGCGGACCCCTCCGTCCCGTGTCTGCATGCAGACCGCTCCGTCCCCTGTCTCTGCACGCAGACCGCACCGTCCCCTGTCTCTGCACGCAGACTGCTGTCCCCTGTCTCTGCATGTGGACCCCTCCGTCCCCTGTGTCTGCATGCAGACCACTCCGTCCCGTCTCTGCACGCAGACCACACCGTCCTGTCTCTGCACGCAGACTGCTGTCCCCTGTCTCTGCACGCAGACCGCACCGTCCCCTGTCTCTGCACGCAGACCGCTCCGTCCCGTCTCTGCACGCAGACCGCTCCGTCCCCTGTCTCTGCACGCAGACCCTCCGTCCCCTGTCTCTGCACGCAGACCGCTCTGTCCCGTCTCTGCACGCAGACCGCTCTGTCCCGTCTCTGCACGCAGACTGCACCGTCCCCTGTCTCTGCACGCAGACCCTCCGTCCCCTGTCTCTGCACGCAGACCCTCCGTCCCCTGTCTCTGCACGCAGACCGCTCTGTCCCCTGTCTCTGCACGCAGACCGCTCTGTCCCCTGTCTCTGCACGCAGACCGCTCTGTCCCCTGTCTCTGCACGCAGACTGCTGTCCCGTCTCTGCACACAGACTGCTGTCCCCTGTCTCTGCACGCAGACTGCACCGTCCCGTCTCTGCACGCAGACTGCTGTCCCCTGTCTCTGCATGCAGACTGCACCGTCCCGTGTCTGCACACGGACTGCTGTCCCCTGTCTCTGCATGCAGACCGCTCCGTCCCCTGTCTCTGAAGGCCCCTCTCCACTGTTCAGACAGGTGCTTCCCCAGAGAAAGTAAGTGAGGAGGTTTAATGACTGCGGCCATAAGAGAATTCCCTCAGGATGAGGTTCTTTGGAAAGCTGCAGTAGCTTATAAATTACTAGAGCTTATTTCTGAAGAACAGCAAAATCCTTGAAGGACTTGAAAATGGCAGAGCTCATAATGAAAATCTGAATGAATGAGCAGATCAACAATAAATGTGCATAATATGTTAGATACATAGCATAACTGTACTTCCAAAATTATACCTTCTAAATATTTAGAGCACATCTTGTCTGGGTTCAAAGGGAAAACATATCTGACTCCTGGCGGCTGGGTTGTCTGAATTCCTGGCTTCACTGCTCCTCTTCCTAGGTGGCACTGTGCTTTCTAGAATGTGTTTTCCCAGAGAGATCACACGTCACGGCCGGCAGAGCGTGTGAGTCAAGGGCTGACCTCATCAACGAGCAGGTCACGTGCAGCACGTCGGGGACCCCGCTGAGCAGCCGCCCTGTGCAACCCCAGGGTCAGAGACGCCCCCGGAGCCCTGGTGTGACGCACAGGTCTGGGGACCTTGTTACAGTGCAGAGTCTGCAGCCGTCCGGGCGAGGCTTAGCTCCGCATTTCGGCAAGCTCCCTGTGGGGCCACACTTGGAGTGAGAAGGCGCAAAGCTCCTTCAGCTCTGACATTCCAGGTTCCAGGGGTGTCCTTGATGCAGCCTGAGGCAGCACCGAAGTGGTCCGGCTTCTGCCCTGCAGCTCTCGGTGGGCTGAGAAGAGGCGGAAACCGCCTGAGGAGCCAGGATCTCCACGCACAGGCCTGTCGGCTTTCCTCCCGCCCCCGGTGGCCCAGGGTGGGCTGTGACCAGGAGTCTGGTGTCAGCATCTGAGCAAAAGGCGGTAGCGGCTGCGGGCGTGGACCTTCCTCCTAGCTGCGATGCTGGCATCTGTGTGGCAGTCTGCCTCCTCACCCAGAGGTTAAAAAATGAGATGTGACGACCCGAAGGCCACTTCCAAGTTTAGGGTCTATGATCCTATCATTGTAAGACAATATTTAATATAAAATAAATGCACATGTAAGCAATAAAAATGACAGGGTTCTCTGGCCCCAGGAAGCAGGTTAATAGTTCTCAAACACAAGGTGATTCCATCTCAAAAGAAGAACACGGAGCCACAGCGTCCCGTGTCCATGTGGCATGGACGTGGGGTGGGGTAGGGTGAGAACTATAAAGACCAGACTCCACAGGGAGTGTGTGCTGGCCTCGGGGCTCGGACGGTACGGCTAAGAGCATGGCCAGAGGGGCCGAGCCTCGTGCCCAGGTCCCCCGGCTTGAGGGCAGCTCTGTATTTCCGAACTGGAGATGAAGCCAGCCAAAAAAAAAAAAAACAGAATTTTGAAATAGCAATAAAATTCCTGGGTGATGAGGTTATAATGACTGATGGAAAAAAAGTCGCTGGAGGGAGCTCCACTGGAAAGGTGCAGGCCAACCTGATTCTTCCTACCGCAGAGTGAGCCCCGGGCAGCTCCTAGCGTTTGTTTGATTGTCACCGCTGAGCGGAGGCAAACAGGGCGCCTTGCCAGGGTCGAGGAACAAAAGGAGAGTGTGAATGAATGGAAGAGCTCGGAACAAAAGGAGAGTGTGAATGAATGGAAGAGCTCGGTGGCCCATCTCAAAAAAGTTGGCGTTCCAGTGACTGCAAGCACTTTTCAGCTTGGCGTTGGCTGATGCAGAGGTTGGTCATCTTCTTCAGCGTCAGGCCAGCTGCACCGCTGAGGAGCGGGCTCCAGCTAGCCTGAGTTACGGGGCCTGCCTGGTGACACAGAGGGGCTGACGGCCACTGTCTACACCGCGCTCGCTCATACCTGTCACAGAGAGCTCTGAAGCTGCTACTTACATGCGGGGACGGTGCAGTCTCTGGTGTTGTGGTAAAGCCTGTGGAAGTGTTTGCTGCACTTGGGACTGAAGTACAGAGGGCCTGCAGTGGCGGGGGGAGAGACAGAGCATGAAGGCTCACGCGGCCGGGGAGCCCGGGCAGAGGCGAGGGAGGAGTATAACACTTACCTGTAAGGTGTTTCAAGAACTTGTCCTTCATCCTCAGGTCTCGAGGAACAATTTCTGTTTCAGGGAAAAGAAATTATCATATTATCTGAATGACGCATTTTTTAAAAAAATGTGATCTTAAGTGAACGTTGAAGAAAATTTACGGGAAATCTGCGTTAGCCATATTGCCCTGCACCAAAAACACCGGAGTGGGGGCACCGTGGTGTTGGATGGGGCACATCATAATCGGGGCCTTATTTTTCTCCAGATGGTATTAACTGCTCATAAAGCGCCAATATTACCTTTCTGTCCTCTGCCACTAGGGTAGAGACAGAGCCCATAAAGTTACAAGGTGGAGAATGGATTTTTGGAAAAAACAAACAAACAAAACAGGTTAGTCTAGTAAATCCCTTTCAGACACTTTCATTTTGAAGAGCTTGGGAATTAAATCTCACCACGTTTCAGAGCTCTAGAAAGGAAACCTGACCCTTCAACCCCACCCCCCACCCCCCAGCCCCAACACTGTCAGGGAACGTTACTCTTTCTAGAGAGACACTCAGAACAAGGAGTAAATGCCTCTGAGACCACCTGTGAGCAAGGCTGGTTGTGTAAATGAATGGAAACACGCGTCCCATTCACGCCTGGGGCGTGAGACACAGCTCCCAGTTCTCCGCACAGCGAACCAGCAAGCATCAGTCTCTGATTTCAGCCTTCGGTTTTGCTTTTCTCCGGCAATCCGCAGGCACTTCGCACTCCCCGGCTGTGGCTCTGGCGGTGCCACCTTTGTTCCGCCTTCTGGGCCTCCGCGGAGGGGGCGCTGCGAGCGCATCTTACCCTGGGGAGGTGGCGCGTCGCCCTAGTGCCGGTCCTCATTCACTCCCAACTTTAGCTGGTCTATAGAAAATTGACCTTATCATATCTGACCCAATTGTGTCAGGAAAGCATTAAAGGCTTCCATGCTTTCCTGGGAAATTCCCCCTGGGGCAGCACTCTGGGAAAGGCCTCTTCTCCGGGGGCTCTGGGACACGTCTTTCTCAGTTCCGCGCGGAAATCAGTGACCTGGGCAACAGCCAGCTCGCACGTGCCAGAGGCAGACTGGGATGGCTTATCTGCGCGGAGCCTTTGCGGAGACACCCTATTGCTACTCTTTTTCTTTAAAAAGAAATTCTCCTTAAAAAAAAATGATCGAAATGGATTTCTCTTTTTGAAACGTGCTTCTGGAAGACGCGTCTCCTTCGCGCACATGCCCCGCACTCACCGACTCTCTGCTCCTCCGGCGAAGGGAAGTCCAGGACGTGCCCGCGGCCCGGGGCGCAGAGCTGCCCGCCGAGCAGCCGCAGCCGCGCGTGCTCCCCGGCCTGGTGCTGCTTGAGCTCCTGGGCGATCTCCACGAGCAGCCGCAGCAGCGCCCGCCCGTCCGCCGGCTCCCCGGGCTCCGCGCGCGCCCGGCCGGGCCCCGCCGCCGGCAGCAGCAGCAGCAGCAGCCCCAGGAGGAGGGGGCGCCCGGGTGAGCGCATCGTCCGCTCGGGTCCCAGGCTGGCGGGGAGGGCGAGGGGCCGGAGAGAAAGTCAGCGGCGGCCGAGGGCAGCCACACCCGCTCGGGCCGCGGCCGCCGGGACCCGGACCCCAAGGAGGGCGCCCCGCGCGGCCCCGGTCACCGCAGGTGAGGGCGACGGCGGCGGAGGTGCCCGCTGAGGTCCCGGCACGGTGAGCGCAGCAGCCGGAGCCGAGAGGAGCCCCCGCCCCGCCCCCCGGGCGCCCCCGCTCGCCCCTAACTTTCGCCCAGATGGCATCGTCCCCGGAGCCCCGCGGTGCCCGGCCTCAGCGCAACTTTCTGTAACCTTTGGAAGCCGCGCGGCGCCCGGGCGGCTGCTTCTCCGCCCGGGGCGGACGTTTGGAGGGGTCGGGCCTGCACACCCACCCCTCTCCGAGAAAGCAGCGCCGCGCGCCCCGCCGGGCTGCTGCGCTCAAGTTCCCAGCGTTGCCTTTGTGCGGTGGTCGCCCCAGCCGGCTCCGAGTCCCCGAAACCCGCCCAGGAGCCCCGGAGCGGTACCTGGCTCCTGCCGCCCGCCGTGCCGGGTTCTGGAATCCCGGGCCAGCACCTGCCCGCGCCTCCCACGGCCACCTGCGCGTCGGAGCCGGCCGGTTACCTGCGTCCTCGCCCGGGAGCCGCGGTGGCGTCCGGCCGTCTGTCCGCGCGTCCGCCCCGGCGTCTGTCCCCGCCCGCCACGGCGCGCCCGCTACCCATGCCCGCAGCGCTGCTCGCAGAGCCACGGGGACGCGGGACGCGGTGACTTGGCGGCTCCCAGCGCTGGACCGCGGCCGCCCCGGGGTGCGCCGGCTCCGAGTCCCGCCTCGGACCTCGGGGCGCTTCTTATCCCCGCGCCCGCCGACGTCAGGCGGGTCCCCGAGGGCTCCGAGCGCGCCTTTAATTAGCAGCCTCAGAAGTGCCCGTACCCCGGTGCGGATCTTCGTCAGACACCCCCGGCCCCCGCCCCACCCCGGTCTCTCCCGTCTCCCCTCCCCCGTCCGCTTCCACCCCGCCGCCTCCCTCCTCCCCACGCCCGCGCTCGCGTCTCCTCCTCCCTCCCCCTCCCCTCCCCCCCGCCCCTGCCCCCTCCCTCGGTCTATTTCCCTTCGTTCCTGTCACTTGTGACAGGATGAGAAGAAACGCCTTTACCAGGAACCCGGCTCTGTTTTTGTCTAAATGTAGATCTTGGGCTATTAAAAAAGGAGCTGCCTGGTTGCGTCGACATTTAATAAGTCAATTAGAGTCTCTCCGTTTTGGGGGGATCCGCCGGCGTCCTGGGGCCGCCCTGGGGACCCCGAGCGGCCGCAGCGCCCAAGCCCGGGTCCCAGGCGGGTCCCCGGCGGGGCGGCCCAGCGGGCGGGGCTGGGGGAGCGGGAGGGCGGGCGCCCGGGAGCCCCGGTGGTGCGCAGCCGGCCGGGCGGCGGGGCAGGACCCGCGCCCCTCGCTAGACCCCCGCGCGGGACGAGCCGGGACAGCGCCGCCCGCGCGCCGGGCTGTCTCCAAACTGAGCGGTCCGGCCAGCCGGGGCCCTGCGCCCCTGGCTCGGAGACGCCCGCAGGAGGGCACTCGACTGCAGGGCTGGTCTCTGGGAAAGTTTGGTTCCTGGGATGTAGCCAGGCACATTTGCGAAGAGTTCGACAATTTGCCTCCTTTAATTTTTTTTTTCTTGTAAAATGTATTATCAATCAATTGCGCACTTTCCCCTTTTGTCGGCGCTTTCTGAGCAAGAGCTGGACGCCCTCCAAGTCGGCGATCCGATGGCGAAAGGCGTTGCAAGTGCAGCACCAGAGGCGAGAGCCTGGCGAGCATTGAAGCCGCCACCACCAAGGCGCCCTTGCACGATGGCAGCGCGAAGGCACGTGCGCCCGGCTCCCAGCCCGGGTCTGCGGGGACCCTCTCGGGAACCCTCCGTCTTCCTCTCCATCTTCCTCTCCACCGCCGCGCTCCCCACCCTCCCGCCACTGGTCTGTTTCCTCGGGAAGAAAGTGTGAGGCAGGTGGGGTGGGCAGGGGGCAGAGACGGGGTGTCAGCCCGCCCTCCTTGGGGTCTGGTTATCTGCTCCGTTTGAGAGCAAATGGTTTGATTTCGCAGAAGGTTTTTTTTTGTCCGCCAAGCAATATGACCGAGATGTGAACGTTTCTGCTAAAATACACTCAGGAAAAGTAAAATTTCACGTCAAACAGATTTAGGCAGATAAAATGAGGGATTTCTCCTTTCTCCCTTTGCAAGCACAAGAAGAAACGTTAGTCCCTCCTGCAAGAGCGACGCCTGCTGATAACGGCCTCCCTGCGCCCCCGCCCGGCCGCAGTTCCCACCCAGGTAAGAGAAACCCGCGAAGATTTTATTTTTGTAAAATAGTTTGGTGTAAAATAGTCTTTGGAAAAAAATCTTAGTATAGTGAAAAAAAAAAAGGAAAAGAAGAAATTAGCCTGATCACACATTACTTTAAATTTCCATGGACTCTCTTACAATACTATTTTAAGAGTTATTATTCAATACTATTTTATTTTGCAAAATCAAAAGCTACATTTTTTCCCTTAAAAAATACCAGTAGGTTCTGCCCTGCCACGCCCCTATGCAAATTCTACAAACCAAGGCAGCCTTGCTAGTATTATAATCAATGTCATCCTTTTTTATTTTGCAGTTTTTAGTGGGACGGACAAATGGATTCGTTGAGCGACCTTCCCGCCACGGGGCTGTGCGGGGGCCCCTCTGCCCAGCCGGAGACGCTGGCGTGAACAAGGCCACAGAGCTGGTGCCTGGCTGGCATCTGGGTTCATGAAAGCTGGCAATTAAGGGTCGGACATTCCATTCATTGATTCATGTTTGCAAAGGTCTCTGCTAAGATTACTCGAGGTGCCCTGCCTTTTACATAAACAACTTGCACGGACTTTCAAAAGCCTACTTACAACTGTGTGCCCATTTATTAATCTTTACTGGGCTTTCCGGTCAGTGACATTCTCAGCATGAACTCCTGGGACTCTCCGGTCCCCAAGGCGTGTGGACAGTGCCCCTGGGCAAGTGCAGGGATTGGTCGCGGGACCCCTCACGCCTTCCCTGTGTGTGGGGGGGAGTCCCGTGTGTCCCTCCAGCGACTGAGAACAAGCGGTGTGCACGGCCTTTCGTGTGTGCACCTGCAGCTGGGGGTTGCGCCCACGGTCAGCGTGCTTGGTTGGCGTCTGCTCAGTCCACCGAGGCCAAGGCTACGTGAGGCCCGGCCAGCTCATCGGGAAGCCGGGCTGACAAATCGCTTGGTCTCTCTGGTGCTTTTTGTGTAACGTGAGGTGGTTGGGCTAGATGGCCCCAAAATCTAAAACTGTGTGATTCTGTGATTGTCACCAAAAAAGTTTGACACAAGAAAATACAATGTTTCCTACTACAAAAAGCTGAAGATAAGTCACTTATAGTCATCACTATGATTTCGCCATCTGTTTTCAGGCAAGAAGAGGTGATATATTCATATTAAATAATTTAATTTCCTTCTTTATACTAAGTGAACAAGTTTGTACTGTCAAGGGTGCAAGAAGCCAAAAAGATAAGAGACAAAATGAGCAACAAACTGTATTCTAGGATTACTGACAAAAAAATAACATATTTTGGTAGATTTGATTTAGTTTGGTTTTCTTTTTGAGAAAACTGTATGGAATCACAGGAAGAAAACTGCGCAGAGATTTAAAAAAAAATTGAATGTCATCTACATTCTGCACTGTGTATTGATGTCATGAGATAGGCAAGTTAATTTTTTCATTTATAAAAAGTATAAAGTTCCAGAGTTTTCAACTGCAATCATTTTTCTCTTCTCCCCAAAAGGTACATATTTAATTTTAGACAAATATTAACTGGCTTCAAAGACTTCTAAAATAAATATATATTAACAACATGTTTTAAAATGAATCATCATACTTGTTCAATCATTATGCTAATCTGGAAAGATTCACCATCCTAGATGCCACCGAGAACATCATGATTCCTGGCAGGAGATCAAAATATCAGCATTGGCCGGGCGGTGGCTCACGCCTGTAACCCTAGCACTCTGGGAGGCCAAGGCGGGCAGATTACTCGAGGTCAGGAGTTTGAAACCAGCCTGAGCAAGAGCGAGACCCCCGTCTCTACTATAAATAGCAAGAAAATTAATTGCCATAATATATAAAAAAAATTATCGGGCATGGTGGCCATGCCTTGTACCCAGCTACTCGGAGGCTGAGGCAGGAGATCGTTGAGCCCAGGAGTTTGAGGTTGCTGTGAGCAGGCTAGATGCCAGGCACCACTCTATGGGCAACAAAGCGAGACTCTGTCTCAAAAAAAAAAAAAAAAAAAAAAAAAAGGCGCGGGTGGCTCATCCACGACTGTAATCCTAGCTCTCTGGGAGGCTGAGGCGGGCAGATTGTCAAGGTCAGGAGTTCGAACCAGCCGAGCAAGAGCGAGACCCCCGTCTCTACTAAAATAGAAGAATTAATTGCCAACTAATATATATAGTAAAAATAGCCGGGCATTTGGGTGGCGCATGCCTGTAGTCCCAGCCACTCGGGGGCTGAGGCAGGAGATCGCTTGAGCCACAGGAGTTTGGAGTTGCTGTGAGCAGCTGACGCCACTTGGCACGTCACCTTAGCCTGGGCCAACAAAGCGAGACTCTGTTCAAAACAAAACAACAAAAAATCAGCATTAATAGGAGTCTGGAAGAAGTCGATTCCCACTCTCATTGGTGACGCCGAGGGGTTCCAGACTTGAGTGGAGGAAGTCACTGCAGAGGTGGTGGAAATAGCAAGAGAACTAGAGTTAGAAGTGGAGCCAAAGATGTGGCTGAATTGCTGCAGTCTCATGACAAAACAACAGAGGAGGAGTGCTTCGCTCTATGGACTGAGCCAAAAAAGACGCGACTTCCTTTTTTTTTTTTTTTTATTTCGCCATATTAGGGACAGTATTTTAAAGGTTCTACATAAATGACCCTTCCCAACCCTCCCCACGAAGTCCTAGTTTCAGCATGAC